TTACAAGTGTGCCGTGCTTATCAGCTCCCCGTTAGCTACAAGTACCGTGCATTTCTCCACAACCATCCTCCTACATATGTGAAGATATACACGCTGCTGTAACATCAAGGGATCCAGTGCCACGGGGAATTGAGGCCAACAGCGGAATAAAGTATACGATGTTAGCGCGGCTTTAATCGCAGCTTGATCACACCTCCAAGTCCAACCAGAAAACTCCTATGCTTTATCTTTCTGGTTTATTTATTAGCAGATTAATATGTGCCAGTGGTTAAAGCGATCTGTGACATGACTGTAAATGTATAATTGGTCTTTTGTTAAAATGTGTCGTTTGTTTGTTCTCACGTTCTTTCATTAACATTCTGCCGGGGCTGCTGGGCTCTGGAGCTCCAGTCAGCACTTTCCCCTAATTACAATGCTGCACTTCAGTCACTGTGTCTTTGAAGAGGACCATTCATCAGCGTCCAGCACATCTGCGCATCACTCCGATAATCACAAACTGCTTTAGAGCCTTGTTTGGAAGTATATTTAATATGCAAACATACATGGTCAGCCACTGTAGAGAATCAGTCACATCATGGACAAAACAATGTCTTGATCAGTTCTTGTATATTGGTTTTATGCTTTTTGTATTGTGTGTGTTCGTAAGTGCTTTCCATGTTTTGTTGAATAGTTAATTTATACTGATTTACATATAGGATTTGCAGCTACATTAGGGCAGCTGCGGCTGTGGAGTGCCACGCTGCTGTTGTGTCCATAGACAAGAGGCCTCACCCTCATTGCTTAGTATGAGTCTGGTGTGTGCGAGAATGGTTGGTGGTGGTTGAAGGAGCCAATCACACATACTGGTTGCTTCGTTTCCCTCAACATGCCCCAGGGCAGCTGTGGCTAACACTGCAGTATCGCCACCGTGTAGGGAATGAATGAAAAATGGCATGTGAGATGTCTTAAGGAGCGTTATATAAAACTGATGCATAATACATAAATGCATAAAATGATTATGTTGATATACTGTAGGACTGGGTGATAAAACCAAATGTAAAACCTTTTTTCTCTTGCTCGTTTGGACAAGTTCCATTTGTAAGTCACTGAAGACACTGCTTTATGACAGAAGTTCAAAGGCACGGGGAACGTGTTTTTTTTTTTATATATTTTTGGTGACTCTACAGAAGCTGGCATCGAAAATATAATCCAAGATATGCCTTTTCTAGAAAGAAAAAAAATATTGTTTTGTCCCATTGTTTTTTGTTTTTTTATCCAGTTAATTTAAATAATGTACAATGTATTTCCCATCCCTATTTTGACTGGAATAGTAAAAAGAAGAACACATGAAAATTCATGGATTGAAGCTATATTGGGTAAAAAGCACAAACTGCTAAAAAAAACCTAGATCTAAGCACGACAGGGCCTGGTTAATACGGTGATGGGAGACCTTTCAACTCTTACAAACTGTATATTTATGGAACACAAGCTTATATGAATACGTTGTCCACGAGGGCAAGTTTATGTGTTGAACTTAAGCACGTTATTTTTCTATTTTTGTATCATTTGCTGTGAAAAAGTCTTCCGTCTTGGAAATCGTATTTACCAGTGTTTTTGATACATCTGCTCTCACACAGCATTATTAAGTGAGGGGGGAACAACACATTTTTACTTGTAAAGTCAAGCAGCAGTAATATGCTGATGAGAAATTTGGCAAAGAGACCCACATGGACCAGATGCTGTGGAAAATCTGGGAACATTACCCAGTTCTCTCTGTCCACCTGGGACTTTCTCTGTTCTGTGTTAAACTCATTTTAGTCCAAATTTGTTCTGAGACTTTATGTGTTCAAACCGTGTTCAAACCCTTTTTCTTTACATTACTGTACATTTTAAAGATGCTGTTTTAGGATTATCACAACTTTATAGAGATTGAAGAGGCTACTGGGTTTTTGAGTTCTTTGCAGATACAGGAGGGTCTGTGGACAGTGATGATCCGGGTTAAGGACATTCATGCACAATTATTAACATTAATGAACATTGGTCATCCCTCTCCCTATGGACCATGGTTCCTACTGTATGTGTTTGTTATTATTGCGTTCCCTGTGTTTGAACTGTTTCTTTGATTTGTTGTTGAGGAATAGACAACTCTGTAAAGTCATCCGAGACCACTGTTATTGTGATTTAGGGCCTATTGAACTGAATTTGCTCATGCCATAACTCTCAAATCCAGTTTTCTTGCACTAAACATTTGTTGGTCTACGGTAGGAATCATCATGAGCTAAATTTTTCATGGCAACATTAAATGTAATCAAGAGAGAATAGGTTTTGTCCGTGTGACATCACAACATTTCAAAGAGCCTACAGTGAAAAGATTGTGGTGGAGGGAAGTAGAGGTCGTCAAACATCTCAAAAGTGTAATTTCCAACTGAAGCTGAATTCTCGAACTATGTAGCTCTTGTACCTAAAGCATGACATCATCACAGAAGTTGATGAATTGACTTTCGACTTATAAAGGCTGAAATAGTTTCACAAAAAGCTAACCTCTGCACATAAATGTTCGCTTTAGTAGCCTCCAGTGCTGTGAGATTCCATCCGCAGTACTTAGCACTTCAATCAATTTGTTGCATGAGTGGAGGTCTAAATTGAAAATGCTTCAGTTGCTTAATGCTGTGTGAAAATAACACAAGTTATCCATCACTATGATTAGAAACCTTCTTCAATATTGTACCATTATAATTTTACATCATTGGCTAGTTCAATGAGGTGTTGGAGACATAATAAAAACAAATGAGCAAAAACGGCTTTTTTGCTGATTTTTGTTTTTGATATAATGTATCAGCAGGGTCATTTGTACATGAGCGAGGTGTATTCTAATGGTCAAACGGAAATGTTTGTAAGCAAATGTATTTGTGCTAAATCAGGCCTGACCAAATGCAAGATGACAGGTGTACTGAAAACTCATATAGTTTCATTTAGAGTTTTTTTTTCAAGCCTGCACAACATATGCTCCATACACAACCACCTAACAGACAACAAACAATCACACAGTTTGAAAATGAGTCAGATGAACCCAATTGATTACAACTTTTCAGGTGAAAAACAGGCTTTCAAACTGTTGAAATATCTTTTCCAGTTTATAAGGCTGTGTCCTCCACAGCTCGAGAACTCAACACTTGACATTGTATTAATTTTCAGAAACCAAGAAAGTGACTTATCTGTTTCTCACATTGAGAAGCACTTGAATATCACCAAATCAATATGGAGAATACTTTGGTTTTCTAAACGGGGTCTCGTTGACCATGAGGTGGAACTCAGGAGAGCGCGGCTGTTGATGGTGCCTCTCATTACTGTAGCTCTGAGTCTCTGAGGACTGATTAGGACACGCGTTTGAGAGGGCAGGCACGTACACCACTGTATCCTGTTGTTTCATTACCAACACACTATGCAAAGCGTGCGATGCAAGGATCTATAAGAAAGCCCATTATTCAGAGCCTCCGCAATCCAGACGCATGACTTTTATCTTTCTTTCTCTCAAATGTTAATCTCTGCAAAAAGAAAGCTTTTAGATATAGCAGTTCTTTTATGTGCTTTTCGGACAGACGCGTATAATGATGTCTGCTTCTGTCTGATGGAGGGCACGATAATGCAAAGTGTGTCTCTATATTTGAATGTATTAGTAATGAGGGTAAGTCTGGGACAAGTGAAAAGGATTTGGGTACTTTGAAAGTGAAGTTTTTGAAGCATATTGACATGCATGTCTGAGTAGTCCATCGCTGCATTTATTTTTCTTGGAGTTGTGCCTAAGATGGTAATGGTTGTGGATCAAATGCAGATGTTGTTGCTTTAAAACCCTGCAGTACACAGTCCATATATTATTGATGGTGTGGCGAAATGGGTTGTAAAAGTATTCAAATATCAACACTATTGCATTCATTATGGGATGGAAGGATTATTTTCACAATGTGTATTTTTGTATTATCATTATTTAGTCCATTTTTAGGTGGTTAGAGGTTGTGCAAAAGGTCCTGGGTCCGAATCCACCTACAGCCGTTTCTGTGTGGAGTTTGCATGTTCTCTCCGATTCTGATTCTGTTTATTTGCCATTGGCAGTAAAAAAACCACATTGGAATACATTAGCAAAAGTCACCAGTGTGCACAGACAAATACAGACATAAAACAACATTAAAAGTACGGAAATAAAACAAATAAAACAGTAAACAAGTGTCACTGTGAAATCGATCGACTAAAACAGTTTCAAAACAAGTGCAAATCATTAAAGTGCTCTGTTCAGACTGATAACAGCCTGTGGAAAAAAGCCACAAGCTCTCCGTGTCTGCATAGGTTTCCTCCGAGTGCTCCGGTTTCCCTTACCACTAAAAACCTGCACAATAGGTCTGAATGGAATGAGAGAGTGAATGGATGGTGTTGATTGTGGACTCTGATGCGCCATTGTGTGCAGCCACTTGCTCCGTCATTTCTATGTGTAGAGAGAAAGGAAAATTATCTGAACATTGTAACGCGCTTTGGGGTGACCTTGGTTTATAGAATGCACTATATAAATAAACATTACTTACATGAGTAGTTCAACATAATAGGGATGTGGTTGCAAAAGTGCGTCATCCACTGATTATTTTCCCCCGTAAGTAAGAGAAAACACTGATGTGAGGGGAGATAAAAGTGATCTCCTGTTGCACTGGTGCACACATACACAGTGTTATTGTCCTATCAAGATAAATAGAAGTGAGACTTTATAATTATCTTTACTACTACTTACTGTATAAAGATTTACATTAGTTGTGCATAATACTTGTGATTTAATTGGAAATACAGTGGAAAATGTACAATCGGATAAGTTTTGTTCACTGAAAAGTATGATCTCTCCTAATTTGTTACAGTCTGTTCCCTTTTGATAGCTTCAGTGATGAGAGACCCAGATTCATGGGGAAGTTTTGATCAAAGAGTTGTGGCTTTACAAAGGCACTGGTGAAATGAGCTAAAGTCTTTCCCCCTGTGTGTGACAGGAGAGCACCTCCGCGTCTGTCCTCAGGGATACACCTGCTGCACCTCCGACATGGAGGACACGTTGCACCTGCAGAGCAAAGTGGAGTTCGAGAGTCTGGTGGAGGAGACCAGCCGCGACATGAGGGCCACCTTTGTGTCCAGTCATAAGAAGTTTGATGGTAAGACATTCTAGACTTTTACACTTTTCCATCTGCTGTGGACAAAATATTATGTTTTTATTATTAATATAAGTATGCAGGTAAAACTCGGAAAATTAGAATATTGTTCAAAATTCCATGTACAATGTGAAACGAATCTATACACTTTTCACACACAATCTTACATGGGGAATAAATACACTGAAATTGGCATGGGCTATGTGGCTATGTTGACTCTGCTCCTGAGAAATGTAGTTGATAACCCAATTATTACCTTTTTTGTTATTGATTGTTGACGGCAATGTTTCTATAAAAGCGCGCATGAGAGTCAGTTGTTCATTTATGTATTCTTCTGTTGTCTGTATTCTGTATTCTGAATGTTAATATCTATATACTAAAGTGATCGTCTGGAGTTTGTCAGAAAGAGAGACAGAGAGGTGCTTGATTTGAAAAAAACGACGCAAGCTCCCTCCCCCTTCCTTTCTGATTGGTCTACGCCTACGTTTCCATAACACTTTTAAATGTTAATCAGAGAACACATTATACATTATTAATACACATACACGGATATTTTCAGAATTATTTTTTAACGTTTTAATGAAAAAAATAATGGAGGCTTGATTCGGAGGTTCCGTGAAAACAAACAACGAGCATCAGCGCCGATGATTGACAGCCCTTGGCATGACTCGATTGGCAAAGTGGATTCTGAACTATAGCTAAGAGAAGGGAAGGCGGGACTTGCCCGTAATATTAGAATTAATAAAATGACTTATTTTATATCAACATTTAAGGCCAGGAGGTCAATTTAACACATTTCCTAAAATTTGTAATTCATTTAGAGTTACAGACTATCACTTTAACATTCAGAATACAGAATTCTTCAGACTTCTTCAGAATTCTAAAGAGAATACAGTATTTTTACATCTGTTCAGTGCGTTATTGTCTTGCGTTGCATATATTTGATTCGCAAGTCTAGTAGAAGTCTGCCTCACATCTTCAGGAAGACGGTTCCAGATTTTAACAGCAGAAATCTGAAATGCTGCATACCCATGTTTACTCCTGACTCTGGGCACCAGTTTTTTCTGGGCTCCTTAGAGTCCGAGTTGCTTCATATGGCAATTATGTGTCACAAATGTTTTTGCTCTAGATCCAGAAATCCTTTAATAATATAAATGTTTTTTTATCTGTGACTTGAGCATGCACGGCCCTATTGAAGTATGCAAAACTTTTGGACAGGCGCATTTTGTTCTCATTGCCATTTGCTAACACTGTTTTCCTCATGATTGAAACCTCAATAGTATTTTAGCTCGAGAGCAAAGAGAAGATTTCTTGACAACAGTGTGATTAAATGCAGGAGTAAAACTGTCAGGCTGTTTCATCTGCAGTTTGGCCTCTGCATGTGAAGTGATCCTCTGTCACTGTGATGAGAGCCATCTCCATAACTGCTGTCTTCTCCTCGCTCTCATTACAACACACTGTGGCTCTGTGATCGCACTGATGGGAATATTCAGATACACGTTCTCTTTAAACATTGTCCTTGGACCTGCACAAGAAGTAAAACTATTAGGATTTACCAGTCGACCTACTTCACAAACATATAAACCAATTCCAAAAAACTGAAATACAATTCTCAACCCAATCTGTCTTTAGAATGGTGGGTTTGTGTATGTCAAAGTGTTTTGCCTCTTTTCTTTTTTTTTTCTTTTTTTTCTTGTTCTTGATTTTTTTTTTTTATTCAGACACTTAAAATCTATTTTAAAAAAAAAGAAACATTCAAAAACAGGAAACAGATGCAAGAGACAAACAACACAACACACAGGTGAACTGTGGTGAACTCGAACCCACGGCCTTCAGGCTCTAAGGCAGGCATGTCAAAGTCAAATACATCAGAGGGCCAAAAAAAAATGTTTGCTACGCGCCGAGGGCCGGACTGGTTCAATGTTTCTCAACATCCAGAGGCAGTGCCGGTGACACCTGTTGGCTCGATAAAATATGCTCCAAAGCCAATCCTCATACTGTACATATTAGATGTAATAGACATCTGAGAACATGACAATAGTAAAAAAAAAACAAAAAAACCTCAAACTTGGTGAAATGTAAAAGAGCAGTCTGGACCTCTTTTCGGGGCATTTTTTGATTAAATCTGCAGAATGGATTATACTTTGGGAAATACAAGTGGATATTCTTCTTCAATAGACAGTTACGGAGAGAAAGCGACTAAGCAAGGATGGGGAAAGTCTAATTTGTTGGAGCAGCAGAAGACGAAAGGTAAAAAACGAATACAGACGTGATTTATTTTGTGCCCATATTATGCGTTATATCTTTTTAATGCAAAGTCTGATATCGTTTACACTAACATATAAATATAGCTGAGAAAATAAGCTTTAAAATGATATAAAGCTTGTGGCTTACGAAGTTCAAAATACATCTGCTATTGCCAGCAGATGTATTTTTTTCCTCGTTTGCTCCCGCAGGCGGGGGCTAGCGAGCTTAAGGGGTCAATACATTGCCTCAATGGCAGGCAATGTCCCGGGGGCCATAGATAATTCATTCGCGGGCCGGATTTGGCCCGCGGGCCTTGACTTTGACACATGTGCTCTAAGGCCAATGCTCTACAAACTGAGCCACTGTCGCCCCAGTGTTTATGTTTACTAAACTAAACGAACAAACATGCATGCACACACACACACATGTATGCGTACTTGATTATTGGAAGAATTACGAGCAAATGTTTTTCCCATTTTTTTGGCAGTAGCTTTACTCACAATACAAATAACACTGGGTAACAAAAAAATATTTTTTGAAAATAGTCCAGGGTTTTCCAGCTGAATTAGACTAATTTTGATGCTCTGAGTCCGAAAATGACCTTGGTTTTGCTCAATAAGGGCAGGATTTTTTGCTACAGAAATATTTTTTTAAACCGATTTTGCGTAAAAAACTTCTGCGGATCATCAGCTGAGAAACCCTTGACGTTTTTTCCGTTTTCCTCAAGAAATAAAAGTCAACGTATCCAAAGTCATTCCGTTTTTATTTACTCCATCAAATTTGATAAGCAGAATTCATAATAACGTAGACGTACGTAATCCGTAACACTGTGGCTGTATCTCAAAAAGTTGACCTGATAGAGCAAAATGCATGTGATATTCGGACTCAGAACACCAAAATTAGTCTAAATCAGTTGAGAAACCCCTGACCCTGATCACAGTGGCATTTATTTGAGACCAATACATAGACTTTTGTAGAATCATTCATGCAATGTGACATATGGTCAGCCTTTAATATCTGTATTATGGCTTTCAGTCCATTTAAAAATAATATTCTAATCTTCTGAGGTGTTTGATTTGTGGTTTCTACAAGCTGTGAAGGAACGATCATCATTATAACAAAGAAAGTCTTGAGATATCTCACTCTGCGCCTATTGAGCCTGTCATATGGTAGTTAAATTACAGAAGTAAATGGACTTTTGAACGATCCTTGAATTTTCCGAGTTCCATCTGTGGAGTATCTATCTCTCCTTTAGCTACAGCCCAAAGGCACAAAACATGATTTTGCACAAGTGGAGAAAAGCACAGAATGTATGGCAAATGCAGACTTATTGATACTAGACTTCATATTACATGGTGACGGCTTCATGTGAGACGTTCTCTCCCACAGAACAATACTCATATTCACTTAACTCTTGGCACAGATCACTTTCCTCAGATCTGAGCCTGCGGCCTCCCGGCGTCACATTTCTCCTCTGTTAATCTGCGCGTGCTCCTCGTGGGGCTTGAATCATCCCTCATCAATTTTACATGTCCTCATTTTTGTCCCAAGTTATTTATAGGGAACTATTATGAAAACCTTAACTTACTTTTTGATTACCGAGCGTGCTCCCCAGAGGCTCACAAGGTTTGATGTATTGGTTGATGTATTATTCAGTAATCCTGTAGCCATAAATGACTGTGGCAAGAATTAAGGTTGTGAAGGTCCAGTCTTCTGGCAGACAGATCCTACGAGCCATTAGCAGTCCTTATATTTAAAGTTTTGTGATGTTTGAAGACTTTTTCCACTTGTGTGTGAATGTTTTTTTAATTATTTAAAGGGACTGCATGTAACCTGTACAACTAGTGGTATAATAAAGTCACTACATGTAGCTCCTAAGCACAGATTATAGCTATAAACTTGTCTTGTGTTTTATATATGACTACTTATTTTTCTATTTGGTTTAAATTAAATATGTTTGGTGCTATTTTCTATTTGGAAAATGTCTTAAAAATAATAAACGAATAAAAAGCCACAACCAGCTACATTTCATTGAACAAACTGGCAACCTAAATGAGAGAGAAATATGAGTTGTACATGTTGACCTATTTTGTAACTATTTTGACCCTTTTTTTACAAGTTAACACTGTTGGGAACAAATTAAGGGATCTCTTAATCTTAATGCAAATTTTCTCGAGACAGATATAAAAGAAATAGAAAATGAAAATATTACATACTGTCCCTTTGAGAAATAGATGGGTTCTCTAATCCTTCTTTAGAGGACTTTATACAAAAAGCATGTAGACATATGATAATAACAACTTTAAATGCTATGGTTATGGTTATGGCTGTACATTTATATTTTTTCATTTGCCGTTGTATTTTTCAGTTCAGTCATTTTAGTTCTCCCAACATCACTCCAAGAAAAAGCCATTTAACAAACCCCGCATACAAGAAATGTGTATTGAACAACATAATCTATTTGGCTTGGACGTGTGTTTTGGTGAAGTTTGGCTGCCGCAATTGATTACAAGTCGCACCAGCACCAGTCAATTCATAATAAAGACTTCATGGAGCGGAACAATAGGTTGCGTTCATGATTCAGAAATAATTTTCAGTTGGAGGGCAGGTGCCAATACGGTTTGACACTGTGCATTATGAGGAAGAAGAAAAAGTCTAAATGGTGTCCCCGATACTCGATTAGATTCACAAACCCGCCACATTATATTTACAGTATTTGTCTGAACGTCATTTTTACCGGCATACAGGTTTTTTTG